TTCCGCTGAGTATTTAGATTCTGCCCACGAAGCACTTTCTTGTTCTTGGAAAGGGTGGGTACTAACTGATGCCATGTTGGTATTGGTCAGTCACACCTCAATCCTCCTGACTCTGGAAAGGAGTGAGAAGGAACGTGGAATGTTCTTCCTTGTTGTAAATTATATGTAGACTCTTCAAAGGAGGTCATTGAATTTCTCCATCCTTTGAAGAGGGCACATGTTTTAAACAAAGAGAATCACTGGAAACCAGGACTCATGGCCTCAGGTCTTGGCTCTGCCCTGAACTAGCTCAGAAAACTTGGGTTTCACTTTCCTCATCTACAGAATAAGACTGAAAAGTTGACATCAAATGTCCTATTTCAGTCTGAATTATACAACTATATTAGATGTTATTCAGTTATACGTTATGCACCTGTGTTACCTGAATTGAAATGTGATGACATGATATACATTAATGGTAGACTGTATACAATGGAAGACTGTAGAAATGTATGTTCCAGTGGGACTCAGAATTACTTGCTGGACAGTTTAAAACTATTATGAAACTCCCAGAGAGTGACTCTTCTGAATCCATGTTTCATGTATTTTTTAAAGATGTATTTATTTATCTGAGAGAGAGAGCATGCGTGCACACATGTGCAAGAGCATGAGCAGGGGGGCAGAGAGAGAAGGGGAGAGAGTCTCAAGCGGACTCATGCTGAGTGCAGGGTTTGTCTCGGGGCTTGAACTCATGACCCTGAGATCATGACCTGAGCTGAAACCAAGAGTCTGATGCTTAACTGACTAAGCCACCCACCCAGGTGCCCCAGATCCATGTTTCATTTGAAGTGTAGAGTGGGATCTCTTCTTTGCTTTTGATTTGAATTTTTTTTTAGCTGTACAAAGTTCCTTTAAATTTTACTCAGCACAATCTATACATTTTTTTCTCAAACATTTACTATGTTTTTAAATATTTACTATTCTTTCCAAAACCCATCTGGTTAGATAATATTTTCATGTTTTACACAATGGATTCCTCATTTCTGTAACAATAATTCAAATATCAATTAGACTTATTTAAGGTTATTGCGTTAATATAAGTAACCATGGAATTTATTGTCCTATGATACTGTCACATAAGGGCCTTTTCCAAAGGGGAGGAATTTAATATAAATAAGAGTGTCCTTGTATGACTATGGAAAATATTCACCAATTGAATATTCTCATTTCTTCTTCCCACCAAGCGGTGGTGTCTGTAGACACAGGGACAGTGCTACAGGTATTCAGTTTGTGCTGGTTGGAAATAACACTAGGAAACACACTGAGGATAATGTGAGACACAAAGGGGGAACTGGATAACATTTTATTGAATAAATGAATAAGGATGGATGGATGCTGAGGTTTCTTCATATCCACTTGAATCCCACTATGAAAATAGGTAAGATCCTTAAATGTGAAACGAGATTTTTAGTTAATTCATTGTGATGTGTTTTAAGCACCTTAAATTGTATGAAGACTTCACCATGACATTATCTCTGTAGAAATAAGTTAGGTAATTTTAGATAATTTAGTATTAGAGTAGGCTCCTTTCTGATTTTAGGGTATTTACTTACTAGAATAGTAAATATGTATACAAATGTTGTGTCACTTCTGAGATAGGAATCCTAAAGGTAGTATTAGGACAGGGTTTCAGCATCTATAAGGTATAGCTTACTCAGAAACTATGTTTCATGGCTCTAGCTAGCAGAAATATTGTTTGCTTCACAAATAAATAAACTGAGGCAAAAACTTAAGTAACATTTATATACAGAATGTGAAGTGAGATATACTCTTGTAAAACTGTTATTAAATAAAAAGCATGATTATATGTTTAAGTATCAAGAAATTTTTTTATTTAATTTTTTTTAAAGATTTAATTTATTTGAGAGAGAGAGAGCATGAGCAGGGGGAGGGGCAGAGGAAGAGGGAGAAGCAGGTTCCCCGCTGAGCAGGGAGTCCCACACAGGCCTCAATCCCAGGACCCCAGGATCATGACCTGAGCCAAAGGCAGATGCTTAACTGACTGAGCCACTCAGGCGCCCCTCAGTAAATTTTTAAATAAAGGCCGTGTGTGTGTGTGTGTGTGTGTGTGTGTGTGTGTGTGTGTGTAGCTTTAAGAACACTAATAAGTCAATTTGCATGTATCCATCATCTAAGTTAAGAAATAAAACATGACCAATACTCAAGAAGCCTCGCTGTGACATGCCTCTCTGGCCATATTCTCTACATACCCCCACACCATCCCTGCCTTAGGTAACCCTTTTCCTAAATCTTGGGTGTTTTGTTTTGTTTTGTTTTAAATCATTTCATTGCTTAAATAATCTGTTGGCTTAGCATGACTTTGAGCTTTATATAAATAAAATCATAGTGTATGTATTCTGTGATTTTTTTTCTCTCAATATTCTGATTCGGAGGTTTACATACAAACATGGAGTTCATTCATTTCCATTGCTATTTCATCTTTCATTGCCTGAACACAACTCACTTCATCTGTTCATTATCCTGATGAAAAGACTCTTAAATTTGTTTCAAAATATGAAATGTGCATTCATTCCATTTGAATCGTTAAAAGAATGATAAACCATTCCATAATACGTTTTTCATTAATTTTTGCTAGAATTGTATTTGCCAGACAGTTCAACCAAATCCTTAAATACTACTCAATATGCACAGAGAACAGAAATTAAAATCTGTATTGCTGTCAACTGTATGGCCCCAGTAAATGGAACAGTGGCCTAGCCTATCCTAGCCAGTTTGCAGTAAGTTATTCTCGGAAAGGAGGCCACAAGGCGCCTGGGTGGCTCAGTCAGTGAAGCATCTGCCTTCGGCTCAGGTCATGGTCCTGGGATCCTGGGATGGAGCCCCATGTGGGGCTCCCTGCTCAGTGGAGAGTCTGCTTCCTCTCTCTCCATCTCTCCCCCACAACTTGTGTGCTCTTTCTCTCTCTCTTTCAAATAAATAAAATCTTTAAAGAGAAAAGGAGATCACAGTTTAATAATCTTATTATTTCCTTTGCCACTTGTAGCTTTTGCCCTCCTGTACAGAATATTTTCCCATTAAGCAGACCTATTGGCAAGATTTTGTTACAGAAAGTGGCTTCCTAGCCATGCACTTAGTGTTTCCTTTAATAGGTCTGGAATCGTTCATAAGGTATGCAAAGCTAGTGCTAAATTTGGTCACCAATGGAAATAGGCTTGCTCTGTGATTCAAGAGAGGGGTAGAGTTAATGGATACATAAACCACTCCCCGACAGCTAAACGTCCCCAAAAGTTCATTTCTTATGATAGGAAATCATTTGGCAAGTGTCTACCTCATGGAAAGCATAAACCTGGAGAACTGGTAACTCAGTGACTCTGGTAGAGCATTAGTTGACTCTGACAGAATAAAGGGGAAGGAAAGTGAAACAGCTTTTTTTTTCTTTTTTAATGCTATTGCATTCATTTAAATATAACTTAAAATTATATTTAAAAAGGAAATATTATCTAATCTACAAATTGTCTTAGTGTTCAAGGTATATTAAAAAGAAATAGGGGCACCTAGGTGGCAGTTGGCTAAGCATCTGACTTGGTTTTGGCTCAGGTCATGATCTCAGGGTCATGGGATCTAGCCCCGTGTCAAGCCCCGTGACGGGCTCCAGGCTTATGGAGTCTGCTTGGGATTTTCTCTCTCCCTCTCCCTTTGCCCTTCCCCACACCCCCCACCACATGCTCCCTCAAATCAATTAAAATTTATAGATTAGATAATTAAATTTCCTTTTTTAATATAATTTTAAGTTATATTTAAATCCTTAAAAAAATAGAATCCACATATACACAGTCTCTGGGGAGCTGAGCACTTAAGGGCCAAAGTAGCTTTGATTTGTGTTAGGACTACTGGATTTGAATCCAGAGATCATCTTACTCTGATTCCCTTGCAGTTGTAGCTCGGATGATAGTTCACTAATAATCTTTGTCTTCTACTAGAAACATTCATTTATTGCCGTATCCTTAGCTCTATGGCAGTGCCTTCCACGTGGTAGGCACTAACAATTATCTATTAAATGAAAGAATTTGGTGGCCCTTGATAGAGCTTGTTTTAACGTATATTTCTGTGATGAGTTAGTATTGCAAGAGTGGGATTTGAACGCGATTGTGATTTTAGGGGAATGCCCTGTGTTTGCATATCTTCTTCCTGGAGAGATGGTTACTGGTTTTAGCTTTTTGAAAAAGGTTCCTGTGGGAAAATGAGATCAGAGACACAGAGCACATGCATGACCAATGCATCCCATTCAACACGTGGGGGAAGGTACAGTAGAAAAATACAAGGTATTTTGAGACCCTGTTGAGTTTAACAGTTTCTACTGAGTTGACGAACTATAATATATATTGAGAAGGCATAATGTTGTTGACGATGATGACGATGATTAGGAGATCAATGCCAAGGTTTCTCTAAAAACACTGTGGCTTCCCTATCCTTAAGGTTTCAAACATTTCTAAAAAGTCCCTCCAGACCCGGTATGATTAGGTCCTGTCCCACCTTCCGAGCTTCATGCAGCATTACTCTTCTGGCTGACTCTGCCTCTGCTGGAGCCACACGTGGGTCTCTGTAGAATAGTGCTGGTAGCTCCTTCTGGCTCCAGGCCCTCTGCCTATGTTGTACACTGTTCTATTTGGAACTCTTCCAAGCCCTTGTGATAGACTCTGCTAATCCAGATTTTGGCATAAAAGTAACTTCTTCAGAGACGTCTCAAAGTCCCCACCCTATACTTCACCCTCTTTCTTTAATTGTAATGGGATAGTTGTGCAGCAAATTGCTTAGCCTGTATCTCTTCTCTTGGCACAAGCTTCATTAGGCAGGTATCGGGCTTGTTCACCTCTGAATTCACAGGGCTTTTCCAGAGAGTGTGGCCAAGAGCAGGTGCTCAATAAATATTTGCTAAAGCAATGAATGTTGAATCATCAAAAGTGCAGCTAAAATTTTTTGTTTTCTTTTTCTCTCTTTAGCTGGGAAGTTATCAATTCCAAACCAGATGAAAGACCCAGGTTCAGCCACTGTATTGCAGAATCATGGATGAATTTCAGCATATTTCTTCAAGAAATGTCTCTTTTTAAACAGCAGAGCCCTGGCAAGGCAAGTTTTCCAGCATAGGAGAATTACCGGGTGTGCTTTAGAAGGTGCAATAAATTGGAAACGAATGAATTAACCTATTTTATCAGCTTATAAGGGTTCTCCAGTCCTGGATATAATATACTAGGAGCAAATTCCATAAAAGCTGGTATTAGTGAGGTTCAGAAATGTGAGGGTGTTAGCACTAGAAAATCCTCAAACTTATATTTCAAGATTGGATGGGTTTTCTATTTTATACATGTTTATCTAACTCATTAACAAAAATGGTGACTGGTCTTGCTATCAGCCAGACCAAGGAGAAAAAAAATACCTTATGAAGAATCTCAGTTTAAAAACAGACATATACATGCAGAGAACAGACAGGTGGTTTCCAGAAAGAAGAGTGGCAGGGCGGTGGGCAAAAGAGGGGAAAGGGATTAAGAAGTACAAACGTCCAGTTATGAAAGTCACCACTATGTTGTACACTGGAAACTAACATAACATTATAGGTCAACTATACTTCAATTCAAAAAAATGAGTAAGTCACAGGGATGTAAATTACAGCATAAGGAATGTTGTCAATAATATCGTGTAAGTACATAGGTGACAGATAGTAACTGGACTTGTCAGTATCCATAATGTATGTAAATGTTGAATCGCTGTGTTGTACACCGAAAACTCATAACATTGTATGTCAATTACAATTCAATAAAAAAAGAATTTGTTTCTATTACTTAGGCTGGTTCTGAAGTCAAAGGGAGATGAAATGAACACACGGTCCTTTGAGGGTGCTTTTGGAGATAATAGAGTCAGTCTAAAAAGTAGAGATTCCTATATGATCTATCTAGTAAAGAAAACCTTTGGCAAAGACACTCATAGTCTTTATATAAATGGAATGTGTATTTTTCCAATTAAGATGAAAAGCCCTGAGGAGAAGGGTCGCAAGTGGTTTGGAAGGGATTGCACGGTGCACACCGTTGGGAGTACTTGGATGTGTAGAGGTGGCTTCAGCTGTGATTGTGAGAATGTGGGTTTAAGGGCAGAGCCATCACCAGTGTTGTGTTCAAGTTCCTTGAACCTCCACCTGTAGTTGGAAGAGCCTAGGAATGTCGACACTGAAAATCCCTCTGGTTGCACCATGTACAGGCCATCGCTTAACTCCAGTAGTATTGATAATAGAACTGTGCTTGGACACATTTTGAGCATATTAGAGTGGCAACGTTGTATACGTGTGGATTTTTTTTTTAAATCCCCGAAGGTAATTCTTAGCATAGATACCCATATGGTGGAGAGGGAGAGTTGCATTTTTGATGCCTATTTTACTGAAATGATTAAACACATTTTTAGAAGATTCTGAACTTAAAACTTCTGCATTGGATTACATTAATGTACTCCAAGTCAATTGGCTTAAGATGATGTTACAGATTTAGGGGATAATATGAAATCTCTTTGTGAAATTGAATTCCAGACACGGTAATGTTTTCCTACACTTATTCTTTCAACGCTTATGGTCCTTCCTCTTCCATTTTGCTATTCGAATTGCATATTCTTCAAGGGCCTCTGCTGTTTCAGAAACAGCTCTTAAGTTTGTTCTGTAAGTTCATCTGTTCTCCTTTTGACTAGTTAACTTATTAACCCTGTGCCAAAGATTGGGAAATCAAGTTTCATCTGACGGTGTTAATCAGTTACTGATCAGAGTTATGTATTCTTTCCTCATATGTCTTTTTGAAATTCCCTTAATGAATTTTCTTTGCTTGCCAATTTAACACCATAATTTAAAGATAAATCAAAAGAAGAAAAATAGTTTATTTTTAAGACTGGGATGTGGAAAACAAGTGAAGGCTTTATGGGAGATTTTTTTGTCATGATGTTTAAATTTCTTAAAACATCCAAGATTTTTTTGGTCATAACTGACAGAAGGAAAATAAGCACATTTCACCGTAGGAATTTCATTTCATTCCCATTTGGTTCCTAAGTGACCTAGAAGTGGGGTCAATTTGAGGAATGGACATGGTTAGGAAGGATAGTAATGGCCAATGGATTCATCCCAGCAGTTTATCACCTGTGCAAACTGCCATTCTATTTATATAAATGCCTCTAATTTCTGCTTTGCTGTGTTTATGAATTTTGATGAGTCTATAGAAGTAGTTTGAACTTGCAGGGTTATTGACCAGGCTGCATTATTTTCAATGACTGATCCTGAGGAAAAGAAGTTTCTGGGGACATACTAGTCTTCAGTTCTCTTGCATCTGACAGTAATATAGCCACAGGCATGATTAATGGGAGATGTTCTCTGTGCCAGAAATTAGCTTCTGGAACCTCACAATGATTATTACTAAGTGTTAGAGTGGACTAAGGCAGGCTGAACACAGCAGTCATCAGGCAGACCCAAATACAAAAGAACACTGTTTGAAAAACATTTGCCATAACATGATAGATCACATATAGATAAATAATTGTCTGTGTATCCTGTGCCCGAAAATGTCTTGGAGTTATATATAATGTCACATCTTGTTTCTGTTATCTCTAGTTTTGTCTCCTGGTCTGCAGTGTGTGCACATTTTTTACAGTCTTGGGAAGTTACATTCCTGGAGTTATACTCAGCTATCTACTGTGTAAGTATGGTAGAACACTTGGCTAATTTATGTGATGCATATGGTATCATTTAATGGTCAACATGGCCTTCCATAGTTTGGAAGAGGAGGGATGAGTCCTTAACTATACAGCATATTGGTTATCCTTTAATTTCCTGCTGTACAAAGTTTCTCCTTTTCCTAGAGACATGTTTATATTTTAAAGTTGGAGGAACGGCTGCCAAAAGGCAGGGTTGGTTATAAGTGATTTGATTTGATTTTAAATTATGTCAGTAAAACTATAAGTAAGCTATATTTCCCATCCCCCACAAACACACTAATCCCTTTGCCCTTGTGTATGTTCTGTGGCTCAAAAAATAATTAAAACCACAATGTCATACCATTACACCCCCACCAGAATGACTAAAATTTAAAATACTGACCATAGCAAGTATTAGCAAGGATACAGAGCAACTAGAAATTCTCACATACTGTTGGTGGGTAGATAGAATGGTAAAAACACTCTGGATAACCGTTTGGCAGTTTCTTAAAAACTATATATGACCCAGCTATTCCACAGCTAGGTATTTACCCAAGGGAAATGAAAGTATATATCTACACAAAGACTTCTCTGCAAATGTTCACAGCAACTTTATTTGTAGTAACCAAAAACAGAACACAGTCTATCTGTCCATCCATAGACATACCGGTAAACAAACTGTGGTATATCCATACAATGACTACTCAGCATGAAAAAAATTGATGTACGCAACAGTCTGGATAAATCTCCAAATAATTAGATTGAATGGGAAAAGCCACGTAAAAAAGAACATATACTGTGTGATTCCATTTATATATACATCATTCAAATTCATCTTTAGCTAATAGCAAAGCACACAAATGGTTGCCTAAGGATGAGGTGGGTAGGGGCAGGGAAAGGCAAGAGAGAAGGATTAATAGGAAGATGGGAAAAATCTAGGGGGTGATGGATATGTTCACTATCTTCATTGTGGTGATGGTTTCTTAGTTGTATGCATATGTCAGAACTTATCAAATTGTATACTTTAAATATGTGCAATTTATTATATGTCAAATATAACTCCACAATGCTGTAAAAAAAAAAAAAAAGTATAGATTTCCATCTTCTCCTGAAAAATATGGTCTTGTCCTGCCACCTTGAGATGGGACAGGCACTCTCCACTGAACTAACCCTGGTTATTTCCCCATTTTTCTTACACCAGCTTTTAAAATGTACATATGCTTCCTTGGCTTCTAGTGATATTTGAGGTTGCAACTCCTATTTAAAAGGTAAATGGGCACATTTTCTAACAACAACAAAGAAGTAAACACTAGGGAATACAGTACATTCTCTAGATCAGGCTTCATTTCTTTTTGTATTCCTAATGTGTAACATCCATGGCAGATGATCAAAGCACAAATCCACTCTCTCAGATGGAACTCATATAGAGTATCAGCCCTTGATTGCCTTGTTTAGGAACTAAAGGAGAAGAGAGCCAGGGGATAGTCTGATATAGGCCAGGCATTATTCAGATGGTTTGCATTCACTTCATTTATTCTTCACAAAACCCCAAGAGATAATATTATTATCCTAATATTACTGATGAGAGGCTAATAGATAATAACTTTCCTATAGCAAAATGGCTTATTCAACAAATAAGTAGAGTGCAGATTTTAATCCAGGACTGTTGTCAAGAAAGCATGTAATCTTTGTGTCAGTGTTGAGGGTGAAAGAATAAAAGGGAGAAAGTTGATTTAATAGCAAGTCCTTGAAAACAGTGACTGTAAGCATAGTGTGTGCATGCATGCGTGTGTGTGTGTGTGTGTGTAGGGGAAAATGTATTCATTAACAGGAGGAAGAATAGAAATTATGAACTTATTTCACAGAGGCACTTCTCTAAGAAAAAAACTTGTATTTGTCTTACTGACTGAACTATTTTTGTGAGATACTCAGAGGTAGCCTTTTGAAAGGAAGGTCATCTTACTGACTTGCTCTTCCTTTTTATGTTTCAGTGCTGTGTGCATTTTTGTGTCCCCTATTAAAGTGTAATGATATTGGACAAAAACTATACAGCAAAATCAAGTCAGTTCTGCTGAAGCTAGATTTTGGAATTGGAGAATATATTAATCAGAAGAAACGTAAGAGATCTGGTAGGTAAAGTTTGAATTTTAGATTCCATGCATGGAATGGGATGTCAGCTGGCTGTTTATTATGAAATCACTTTGAATATGTCTCAAAGTGCTTTTAGCCTTTTATTACATATCGAAGCTAATCCCCCCAAAGTAATGTAGTCTTTACCTATTTATTTAGGCTTTTATGCTTTTCTCAAACACATAAGAAATTCACTTTTTAATTCAAATTGTCAGGGGAAGGAGGAAAGAATTTAATAATTCTATATTTGCTATTTATGATTTCCTTTGTTTCAGCTGTCTTATTTCGGGGTGGACAATTGCAAATAAAAAACCACGCTAGGGCTAAGAAAGAGTATGGGAGCCGCATAAGAGGGCATGGAGAGAAGAAGGGAAAGAAAAGAAAACGGAGGAAAACCCAAAGTGATCATTTTTCACTATTTAACTTGGCCTATGACCTTATAGGTTCTCAAACTATAGCAAGCATCAGAGTCGCCTGGAGGGATTATTAAAGCATAGAGTCCTGGGCCCCACCCCAGAGTTTCTGATTTAGTTGGTATAGTTGGTAAGGCCTGAGAATTTGCAAATCTAAAAAGTTCCCATCAGCGGTGCTGCTGCTGGGTCAGTCCCTACTAGAATCACTGATATGGACCATTCCCTTGGAACTGAAACATTTGCAGATACATGAAGCTTGTTGTGTGCACACATTTAATTGAATGGAAGCACTGGAGACTATGGGGAAGACTGGAGGAATGTGAGGTCAGGATATCACTGTAGAATGGATAAAGTACACTATGCCTAAGCTGACCAGGACACTGAAAGCCTCTAAATTTTTTCTCAACAGAAGCAGATAAAGAAAAAAGTCACAAAGATGACAGTGAATTAGACCTTTCAGCTCTTTGTCCTAAGGTATTTTTTGTTTGGTTTTCCATTTGTTGCTGTGTGGTTTGACTGTAAATTTATTTATATGCCCTGAAGCTGAATGATTTGCCTAATGGACTCCTCCTATTTCTCTAAGATGATTGAACAGTTTCAAAAGGAGAGTGATTCATTTGGTTTTTATTATTCTGATAGTTTGGGGGTTCGTATGGAGTTTTCAAAAAGATTTCTGTCAGAAGTTTCAAATGTGTCATTGCTCTCTATGTTAACACAGATTAGCCTCACGGTTGCGGCCAAAGAGCTGTCTGTGTCTGACACGGACGTGTCCGAGGTCTCCTGGACTGACAATGGGACCTTCAACCTGTCAGAAGGATACACTCCACAGACAGACACTTCTGATGGTATGCTCACATTTTTACATATTCTTCTTTTTAATATTATGAGTATCTGCAAAAATATTTACCTCTGTCAACTGCTGAATGAATACACAAAATATGGCGTATCTATACAGCGGACTACCACTTGGCTATAAAAACAAAGTACGGGTACATGCCGTGACTTGGATGAACCTTGAAAACATTATGCTGAGTGAAAGAAGTCAAACACACAAGTCCACCTATTGTATCAGTCCATTTACATGAAACGCCCAGAAGAGGCAAATCTATTTGGACAGAAAGTAGATTAGTGGCTGCTAGGGGCTGAGGGAAGAGGAATGGTGGTGAGTGGTAATTAATGTGAGTTTTCTGTAATGATGAAATTAGGTATTTGGTGGTTGTAAAGCTTTGTGAGTATATTAAAAAACCACTGAGTTGTATACTTTAAAAGGGCAAATTTTATGGTATATGAATCATATCTCAAAAGCTTTTACTTTTTTAAAAGTATGAGAAAAAGATCTAAGACAGTCAATATACAAATCTGCCTTTATTTTGAAAACAAATAAATAATTGACAGTGAAAACAATTTCTGAAATGTCTGGTGGCAAATATCCGTTACTTTTGGCAACAACGGAAGGAGCGGAAGAGAGACACTCATCCCATACATCCAGGGCTAGTCCTCATTAAAAAGGATTGAAGTGCAGAGGACCAGCTCCCCAAGTCTAAAGCTGACTCCACTCATGTTTGTCTTCAAAGTTAGTTTAAAAAAATTTTTTTTATAATTAGGATAAATATAATTTAAAATAGACAGTCTTGTGCAGTAACTTAACATTTACTAGCCTCATTGGATTATTTCAAGTCATTTTAGCCATATACTGAAAATATGAGGTTATAATGGAAGATTATGAATTGCTTTATATGTGTTTTTACAAGCAAGAACACTCTTTTCCTAGAGGAAGGAGGGAGGCTGTGCAATGTTTGAAAGACAGGCTTGGAGACTGGGACACCCAAGTGTAGCCTTGCTTTTGTCATTAGCTACCTGTGTGACCTTGAACAGGTGACATAATTTCTGTGGGCTTCAATTTCCTCACCTTTAAAGTGTATTAGAATATTCATGGGGCAACCTGGTGGCTCAGTTGGTAGAACACGTGACTCTTGATCATGGGGTTGTGAGATCAAGCCCCACATTGGACTTAGAGTCTACTTAAAAAAAAAAAAAACAAAACAAAAAACTCAAGCTGTACAAGCCCAACATTATCAAGATAAGGACAGCAAACCCTTTGTTCTTAAGCATTACGCAACAAAAGGGGCAGTAATAATCCAACCCACACAGAAGGCTTTAACTCTTTGTTGTAAAGAGTTAACTGTTGTACTGAAAAATTTTCTATGGAAAGTGAAAAACAATAAAATCACTGTCTGCCTACTAACCTGGCATTGCTTTCAAATGTCCCAAATCTTAAAGTGTTCCTGTATGTATTCTAGACACAAGTTTGGTAAATAGGGCATGGTCATTTTCAGCAATATTTATGGAAAGCTAAATGTTTCCATAAGCTCTTAAGTTGAATATGGGATAGAAGGAGCAATACTTTCCTTTAATTCATTGCTTTAAACAAACATAGGTTACAGATGCTGAGATACACATCTCTATGGGTGAATAATGCTGAGGCAGGATAATACTCACCATTTGTTATACCAGAATCCATGAAAACCTCCAACTGAAGTATTTTTTTTAACTTGTGATCATGCATATCCATATTGGCTTAAAGTGAAAACCCTCCCTGGGGCAGGATGAAACTTTTGTTTACGATGAACATTTAAACTTCAGTACACATATACAATGGAATATTACTCAGCCATAAAAAGAATGAAATCTTGCCATTTGCAATGATGTGGATGGAGCTAGAGAGTATTACGCTAAGCAAAATAAGTCAGAGAAAGAGAAATACCATATGATTTCATTTGTATGTGGAATTTAAGAAAAAAGACAAATGAGCAAAAGGAAAAAAAGAGAGAGGCAAACCAAGAAACAGACTCTTTAAAATAGTGAACAGACTATGGTTACCAGAGGGGAGGTGGGTGGGGGATGGGTAGAATAGGTGATGGGGATTGAGGAGAGCACTTGTGATGAGCACTGGGTGTTGTATGGAAGCGTTATCACTATATTGTATCCCTGAAATTCATACACTGTATGTTAACTTGCTGGAATTTAAATAAAAACTTGAAAAAAAAAAAGTTAAGTCAAGCCTCAAGCCGACGTTAGGTTGAACGTTAAGCCATTACATGTACTGTTTGGTACTTAAGAGGAAAACTAAAGTAGCAGAGACATGCGGTATTTGCGTATTTGTAGAGTGGTAGCGTCCCGGCCTTGAAAGGGGTCCAGTATGTGCTTAAGTTGATTTAAACTGAACCAGGAGGCTAGGTGAATGTCAAGTTTGCCTGGAGGGTTCGGATTGAAGTCAGATTATCGTTTAGACAGTTCTTTTCTTTCAAATTCATCGCGGTGCTCAAGCATGAACTTGTGTTATACATTCCACAGATCTTGACCGACCGAGCGAAGAAGTTTTCTCTCGAGACCTTTCCGATTTTCCATCGGTAGAAAACGGCACGGGAACAAATGATGAAGATGAATTCAGCCTTGGCTTGCCCACTGAGCAAAGGAGAAAAAAAGAGCAGTTGGACAGCGGTCTCAGAGCGAGCGGAGAGAGGCAGTCGGCAGCTGGTCTCACCCTTCCTTTGAGCAGTGACCAAACCTTTCACTTGATGCGCAACCTGGCTGGGGACGCCATCGCGGCCGCAGTGACAGCAGCCATCAAAGAGCAGTTGGAGGGCGCGCAGCAAGCACTTTCTCAGGCTGCCCCCAGCCCAGGCGACGACACAGACCCTGAGGAAGGTGATGACTTTGAACTACTTGACCAGTCAGAGCTTGATCAAATTGAGAGTGAATTGGGACTTTCACAAGACCAAGAAGCAGAAGCACAGCAAAATAAGAAGCCTTCGGGCTTCCTTTCAAATCTACTCGGAGGCCCTTAGTCTGGGAATCAACTTGTTCAACACAGCACAGATGAAACTACCAAAAAAATTCAAACAAGCAAAAAAAAAAAAAGAAGAAAAAAGAAAAGGAAAAAGATTTTTTGAACTGTGAGCTTTACTGATTACTTCAGATTTTTTTTCTTATTTTCCCTTCTGCAGTGAATTAATTGGATATATATCAGCTGATACTGATTTCCTATAGTTATTTTTATGTAATAAGCATGGAAATGAACTTTATATACATATATATACAAACTGTGTTGTCAGAGATGAATATTAGAGGTTGTTTTTAAAGCAAAAACACCAAATTATTGGGATCCTCCTATAAGTATTCCTTATTTTTTTTCTTTACAATTAATTTTTCAAGCATGCAAAAACAGTTTATTGTAACTCACTGATATAGTAACAATTAGTTGTGAATACAAGGAGTATCAACTCCTTTGTTACTGATACTTGGAAACAGTTAAAAAATTTTGGTAGATTCTGATTTAAAAAAAACAAAAATTATCAAGTTATCTTTAGTTGAAGGACTTGGGAAATATTATCAAAATTAATTTCCTAGGAAAAATTTTAAAAATATATTTAACTACTCTGGATACGCTGATACATTTCCATGTTACTTCTGCAGTTATAGACTTAGGCTTACCTGTAGTAAATGGCATGCTCCATGGACTGCCAGCTCTGGTCTTGGCAATGGGTGATATTAACCCATAGAAAGCGAGTAATTATATATCACATAGACAGTGGTTTTGATGTAAACAGAGACTGGGCTGTGTTTTGTTGTTCAATTGTCATATATTCGTAATAGAGATGTTGTAAAGTGCAGGTCTATTCTGCCTGCTCAGACCTAAGTTAAACCCTCATCTTTCATGTTATGTCATAGAAAACGTCTCTTAGAGTTGTGAAGCTAGTTCCTGGTATGTTCTAGGAGTGATGCTGTCATCAGCATTAGAGAAACAGTGACTGTTTTCGTAGTCTGTATGGAGTCTGCAACAGGAGAGAAATTTGCTTGGCTTTAAGGTGTATTTATTTGCTCCTGAAGTCTAAATATGTCATCTGTTTCTACTGGGAAGCCAGAATATATTTCTCCTTTATTTTAAACTTTTTAGATCACCTTCAAATAACCAAATTTGACTTAGGCTTTTAACAAAGGGTTTAGCAGAAATTAAGCTAATTTTGTTTTTGTAATACAAACTTTTAATAGTGTTGAGGGACCATGTCAGCCAACTACCAACAATCCCTTCAATCTTCAGGTACAGCTGGCATTTCTACAGATGCGTACAGACATCTGAGACCCTCAGAAAGGAAGGATAATCCAAGAATATAGGGAATCTGTGGTCCCTTCCCTTCATTTTATTCCTTTCCTTATATTTCTAAAAGACTATAGGTAATTTGATGTTTTAACGTAGCATCTCTTATTTATTTTTTCTTTCTGAGGTATTAAAATATCTAGATTGGATTTTGCCAAATGTTAAAGGGAGAAAAGTTATCGAGGACTTTGAACACTTGCTTTTTGTGAGTTGACTATGCTTAATATGTCGTTAGTGCCTCATGACTGTGTTTGATGTCCTTTATTGATACAAAGTGAGCCTGTGCCTTCATTTTCTTGCCCATTTTGGTACAAAAACCTGGTGTTAGATCTATGAACTGTGTGGGTTAGGGAGGAATATACCTGAATTCTATTCAATACAAGTTTCTGGACATAAAGAAAAATACAGTCACATATTTATAAAATAGTTGTCACCAGGATTCTTTTTTTTTTTTTTATGTGTATGCTTCTGCTTTTAAAAAATGTTCTTGGCCATGAAGTCAAAAAGTTTACAGGTCATTTCAATTTTTTCATTGAGGGGAAAATAAGAGGTTGATCCAAGTAACTAAAGAATGTGTTAAAAGTCACTGGACAAGCTTACAAAAAGATAAACTCAAGAGTTGGTGGTAGGAACAATAAAGCAAGGATCAAATATTATAAACTATAAATTAAAAGTGGTTTGGGGATGGCGAGGTTGTTAGGGTAGAAAAATGTGTTACTAGCAATATGGAGGACACATACCAGTTCTCTATGGATAGTAGCATTATAACCACACATGTACTTCAATATTTATTCGAGAACATATGTCATTACAAATTTACATAATGCAATAACAGTACTCAATTTGGACAAACAGGGATGCTGAGGATGGTGTGTGTGTGTGTGTGTGTGTGTTGGTGGATATACTGTATATAATCCTATTTCTGGTTTTAAGATAGAGTAACAATAAACCCCGATGACTGATCCAGTACAGAGGGGGACTATATATCCCTTACCATGAGAATGTATGCATTCATTAAAGTGTGAAACATGGTTTTTTTTTAATTGTAAAGGAGGTGTAGAAAATATTTTGCTCTCTTCCTGTAGAAAATGCTGAGCAAAATTAGACAGTGGGAATAGCATACATTGATCATGCATTTTGACCTGAAACAATAAAGCAGGGCTCAAGAAGTTCAAGCTTGCTTTGGAAGGTCAATCCAGGCTTAAAGCGGTGTTTATGTTCTCATTCTGAATCATCATTGCTTTTCTTACCCTAAAAATCTTCAAAAGTGATTTTTAAAAAACTGCCCCCCCATGTAGTAGAATACTAGGAAAACAAATATTTATAAGGCTTTGCAATTGGCAAACATCCTCAACATATTTAGGCATCTCTTATATTTGAAATAAGTGCAACTCTTTTTCCTTTAAAAATAGCAAATTCCAGTATACTACTGATTTTAGGCAAGAAGCAAATTAAGCAAATTCTTATATTTAAGAAAAAAGTGACTTAAACATTTTCCTTTTCTGTTTATAATTTAGGTTGATGTAGTTCTTTATACTGTTCCAGCTATATTAGTTATAAGATAGGAAATTATTCTGAAAACCCCTTACTAAACTACTGTTGTCCTAGGTCATTTGTATCATGATGAAGTTAGAAAGTCTCAGAACTATATTTTTGTGTATTATTCCTCTACTTCCACTGCAGCATTTAAGTTAGGATGGGATGTCATAAATATGAGTTCTAGTTCTGATGTTAATATTATGGCCTCCTAAGATACAATGTTAAAGTCACATAACATCCCCAAACTATCACTTCAATTTCCCCAAACATAAAATTAGGAAGTTAATTATTCTCTCACACAGGGATGTTTTTAGACTGAATGGAAAAAAGTGTCTGAAGGTCTTTCAGGAGAAAAATAAGCTATATATAACCAAGATAGTGATTTTTTTTTCCCCTGCCTGTGTTTCAACTAAGCCATCTTTTCAAACATTAAGACAAAGTCAATCAACAAGTAACTGCTTATAAGAAAACTCTAAAGTTCTTTCAGTGGGACTAGCACTATATTGGCCTCATAATCCAATAAATGCTGTGGAATAAAAAGATGAAAACTGTTGCAAAAGTGCCTATTTTTTTAGTTGACTCTGGACCATGTGTGAGGTTCTACACTAGCCATTTTTAATGGATCTGACAGTGGCTGGGAGACTCCAAGTCAGTCACATAACATCTGCTCCTGTTTCCTTCATCTGTGAAGTTAAGTCATAGCACCTGCACCTCGCAGTGTGTAATTAAATGTCTAAGACTGTGGTTGGCAAACTATGGCCTAAGGGCCAAATCTGGCCTGCCACTGTTTTTGTATGGAATAGCAGCTAAGAATGATTTTTTAAAATTTGTAAATGGTTGAAAAAAATCAGAAGAACAGTTCATGACATGTGTAAAATATATGAAATTCAAAATTCATCCATAAAGAAAGTTTTGTTAGAACACAGCCACACTCATTTATGTGCTGTCTATGGCTGCTTTTATGTGAAAAAGTTGAATAGTTGTGGAGAACATAGACCTATAAAGCCTAAAATATTTACTATTTTACCCTTTGTAGGAAAAGTTTGCCAACCATTGGTCTAATACATAGAAAACAGTTACAGTTAGAATCATGTAATCCTCCTGACCCTATAATTAAGTAGTAAGAAGAACGTTTTTCAGAAGGAAAGAGTTAAATTATCCACAGTCACATAGCTAGTAAGGGGAGAAGCCAGTTTGTCCCCAAAGCCTATTCCCTTTCCAATATGTCACATTATCTAATATTTTTTGTTTTTTAAATACATTAAGAATGATCATAATTTTAAATAGGTCAGCAGAATTTTACTAAATATTAAAGACTGAATTTATTTTATTTAGATTATTTTTTTCTTTTTTCAAAGAATCCAGAAACTGGCTGATCCGTTCTATTTTAAATGCTGTGAAACCAGGTTTTTTCAATTCTTTGAGAATATCTCAATTCTTTGTTAATTTAAGCACAGAAAACTCTGCATATCTAGATGCCCAAAAACCAAGAGGTAGTAAAATGTTTTAAAATTGTTTATTGAAAATCGTAATTCTTTACTTAAGTTTTTTTACGAACACAGAATTCAAAGAAGTAAACCATTTAATAAATGTTAGTTTTATATTCTTTGTTACCCCCCCAAAAGTTAATCCCAACCAAGCCTTTTAAGTTTTCCTTTTAAAAACCAAGTCGCTGGGGCGCTGGGTGGCTCAGTCGTTAAGCGTCTGCCTTCGGCTCAGGTCATGATCCCAGGGTCCTGGGATGGAGCCCTGCATCCACCCAGCATCAGGCTCCCTGCTCCGCGGGAAGCCCTCTTCTCCCTCTCCCGCTCCCCCTGCTTGTGTTCCCTCTCTCGCTGTCTCTCTCTCTCTCTGTCAAATAATAAAATCTTAAAAAAAGAAAAACAAAAACAAGTTGCTACTGCGATATAGGTATGTGAAAAGTAGTAAGCCTGTCACAACAGACTACTGTCTATCAATACCAGTATCTCAACTGACTTGAAGATGAGCTTATTTCCTCCTATTTTAAATTTTGTAGTAATCAAAAATCAACATTCCAACATCTTTCAGGATTGGAAAGGGACTACATCTTCATGGATACTGTCACTTTTATAGTGTGCAACATAACTTCAGTAGTTTGGCAATTAAGTGAACTATCTTAAGGGCTATGTCACAGTACCCAGAAACAAATTCTAATTTTTAATATTTTCAAATCTAAATTTTTTACATGGGCAGTCTCAGTTTAAATTCTTCAGTAAAATGATTAATTTGGTAAGAAACATTTTTTATAGCATTGTCAGCAGCGATTAGACACATTAATTTAATACTCTGAATATACGGCAGAGAAGTTTAACACAAGGTCCCTTGATCAGTCATCTTGCATTTACCAAGGAGCTATTGGCTATAGACCTGCCCCTTTCTAGTGTTTTTCCAACCCATTCCAGATACTGCTGCTGGACCTCAAGGACCGCTCCTATTCCTTATGCCCATATAAACTGAAACTCTTTTTGAGTTCCTACTGTTTACCAAATGAAGAATGAACAACAAAGTGTAGCATTCAACCCTTTACCCAATACCTTAATCCTCTCTAGTCTTATTTCGTCTTTACCTGTATCTTATGCTTCAACACAAACTAGACTTATATTCTTCCTAAATATGTCCTGTAGTTTCCTCCCTAGTATTTCTTCTACCTTCCACCTCCCTCCTTCAGTTGCAGATGAAGTCCGCCATCTTCTCCCTTTCACCACCCATCTGAAATGTCAGCTCCTTAATGAAAACTTTTCGGATCTACTTGGATAAGATTTCTCTATTCTAAATACCCATCGCACCTTTATATTTTGTTGTACGTGACCCAGTCTGTAGTGTGGTCGTTGTGTATTTCTTACCATCCTTATCAAATTATAAGAAACTCCTTGAGGGTAGGGAAGTCTTAATTTAAACCTAGTAGAGTATTTTAAAGGATAATGTGATGTGATTCGTAATAAATATACACTTGGTCTTTGTCCATTCCTGGCACAGAGCTCACAAAAAACCAAAGTGTTAAGAGGATAACAGTGTTTTGGGTTATGTCAATGAAGTGACTTTTGGAAAGCCCATAGATGACCTGTGGATGAGAGCTGGTTGCCATGGGACCTAACAATATGATTAGAGGGTTGCAATTTTCAGTCCCACCCCCTCACACCTCTGGGGAGGAGAAAGGAGCTGGAGGTTGAGTTCAATCACCAAAGATTTAATCAATCATGCCGATGTAATGAAACCGCCATAACACCTCAGAAGAATGGGGTTCAGAGACCTTTTAGGTCAGTGAACCAGAACAAATCCATGTGCCAGGTGGGTGGTGCACCCCAAACTCCATGGGGACAGAAGCTCCTGTGTTTGGGACCCTTCTGGACCTCACCCCATGTATCTCTTCATCTGGCTATTCATCTGTATCCTTTAATATCCTTTGTAATAAACCAGTAATCTAGTAAGTAAACTGGTTTCCTGAGTTTTGTGAGCTACTCCAGCAAATTAATCAAACCAGAGAGGGTTGTCCGGCTTATAGCCAGTTGGTCAGAAGCAGAGGTAACAACCTGGACCTGCTATTGGCATCTGAAGTGGGGTCAGTCTTGTGGGACGGAGCCCTTAACCTGTGGGATCTGGCCCTGTCTCCAGGTAGATAGTGTCAGAGTTGAGCTGACTTGTAGGACTCCCAGCTGGTGTCTGAGAATTGCTTGGTGGTGTGGAAAAAACACACATATTGGAGATTGGTAGTATGGGGGACAGGTAGTGGGAGCTACTGAAAGCCAGGCAAAGGACTTTAAACTGCATTCTCTGGGCAACTGACAACCATTCTTGAACATAAACAGGGACCTATGAGGCAAAATGGCTTAGGAAAATTAGTCTGATGATCTGTATGTACTGTAGTTGCAGACCACGAAGACAGAGGAAGGCTATCT